AAAAAAAAAGGCAAAATAGGGCTTGGGATATAGCTCAGTGATACAGTGCCTGCCTGACATACACAAGACCCTGAGTTCAATTCCTGGTACCAAAGAAAGATAAAATAATTCAGCCTTACCGAAATTAATCAAAGGACACAGAAGGTAAGTGGCACAGAGAAAATGCTGATGAACAAAACAAAGAACAATGCCCACTGGCCAAAGCTGCCTACTAGGATTTTTGTTTGTTTGTTTTAGTGAGAAACTTGTCTCATAGTGAGACAAGGTTTCACTATGTAGTTCAGGCTAGCTCTGAACTCTCTATTTAGCCTAAACTGGCCTTGAACTCAAGATAACCCTCCTGCCCACCTCCCCAGTGCAAGGATTACAGGCATGTGCCACCACACCTGGCTTTCTTTCAGTTTATTTGAGACAGGGTTCCACTGTGTAGTGCAGGCCAGCCTTGAACTCACTACTTAGCCTAGGCTGGCCTTGAACTTACAGCAGTCCTCTGTCTCAGTCTCTCTGATGCTGGGATTACATGTGTGTCATCACAGCTGGCTCATCAGGATTTTTACACTGGATTTTCCTCTATATAGCTGCAAAAATGATGTATGTTTAAAATGTGGGTCAAATTTTTCCATAAAACAGAAAACTTTTTATTCTAGTTGACTTTACTATGTTTAAATGTACATGTTAAAACCACCTGAGTAAATAATACACTCCCAGTTATAAATAATCTATGAAGTGCTGAGGCCATAAAACAATAGCTAAGGGGGAAAAATTCACTGTATAACGGCTACCAGCCTAACATATGATAACTTTAGCTCTGCAGTCTCTTTCCCTAACCTCTTATTTTACAACATTCCAAAGAGTGCTTATTTTTATAAATACTGTTTTATGCACAGCACACAAGCATTTATTATACAGCAGGTCAAAAGCAGGATCTCTGGGAACTTTCCACATTTGCTCATAATATTTACCAGGGAGGATCGAGGGCCAAGAGATGCGTGGCAGCTAATCAGGTTTGCTAATCATGACAGAAGAAGCAGGGCGCCTTTGTTTCGAGGCAGGTTATTCTCTTAATCAGTCCCAGGAGATAAGGCCCGGATTCAGTGAGCTTCACAGTATAAATACAACGGGAGCCAAAGGTCTAGGTAACTTCCCCAAAGCTAGGGGTTTGTCTTTTCCCAAAGAAATACAAAAGAAAACCCAAGAGAGCCACAGAGCATTCCAACGGAAAAGGCAGAGGGACTGGAGGCTGCTAGAGGACTGGTTTTCATTTCTGTCACCTCTATGCTGTCCCTCTGCCAAATTTTCTGGTAAATTTTGTTAACTCCAGGGAGATGGGCTGGTAAGATAGCTTAGCAGACTAAGTGTCTGCTTAGGCAAGCTCAAGGACTGGAGTTCAATCGTCGGTACCCATGCAACACCAGTCCCCCACCCTTAGGGTACACTGAGGGGTGACAAGTCCAGCTGTGGTGGTGCAAGCCTTCAATCTCAGCACTGGGGAGGCTGACAGCTGGAGGATCACTGTGAGTCTGAGTGTGTAGCGAAGCCCTATATCAAATACACACATTAAAAAAAAGTCCAGGGAGACAGACCTACAGCTAATACTTTTAATCATTATACAGAAGTCAGCAAGCCACACCCGTGGACTTAAAGTACAAATTTGGGGGCAAGGCTGAAATGTAGTAGGTCCACAGTTACACAGATGGCTGAGCATTTTTGTTTTTACTTTATGCATTTGGTACAGGGTCTCACTATGCAGCTCAGACTCATAGTTACCCCCCTGTTTCAGCCTCCCCAGTGCTGGGATTACAGGTGTGCACCACCACACCCCGGACTCAGTGGCTGGTGGGGTCAGTGTGGCATGCGGTATTGGGACCAAATCCAAGTTCCTGCCCTTGCCTAAGCAGGCCCTTAGTCCACTGAGCTATCTTACTGGCCCTGGCTGATGGTTTCGAAATGATGTGTATCACCTACCCTGCTAGCATGCTCTAGACGGAAGGAGAGGGCAAAGGCACCACCTGAGGGTGACCTGCTTACAGCAACATTTAGTTATGATTACTCAGCTGCTTCTACTCAGGAGACAGCCTCCAGCCTCCAGTGGATCTCTGCCCAGCTCCCAGTACAGTAAAGCAGAGGGAGCCACAATTACTGTAGCTGTACTTTCAAAATACCTGCAGGATGTGGTGCGAGGCAGAGCCCTTGCCTAGCATGCACAACCCTAAGTTCAATCTGGGGTGGGGGGCGCTTCAGAAGTAATAGGCACAAACAAAACTTTAAGAACTGAAAACCAGGGCTGGGGATACAGTGCCTGCCTCACAGGCGCAAGGCGCAAGGTTGTAAGTTTGATTTTTGGTACCACAAAGAGTTGAAAACCAGCTATGGTTGTACATGGCTGTAATCTCTGCTACTCAGGAGGCTGAGACAGGTGAATCACAAGTTCAAGTCTAGCCCAGGCAACTTAGAGACTTGGTGAGACTTCATCTCAACAAAAAAAAATCAATGTATTGAGTGACAAAATGGAACTATTCCAGAATACAGAAGAAAGAAACAAGACAACCAATGCAAGGAATGATCCCTGATTGGCTTCTAGACTAGGGAAACTAAGGGGACAGCTGGGGACACTGACAAACGTGCTGTAGATGAGAAAACACTATTATAGAAAAACCAGTCATGGTGGTACACATTTGTAATCCCTTATCTTACAGGCTGAGGCAGGAGGAATGCTGTGAGTTTGAGGCCAGCATGAGCTATATACTGAGTTCAAGGTCAACCTGAACTATACAGTGAGACTGTCTCATAGAAAAGATAAATTTCTAGATTTTATTTCAGACACAGATATAGTTTAGGCTGGCCCTGAATTTACCACAAGCCCTGATTCACTCCGATCCTCCTGCCTCAGACTCCTGATATTGGAACAGGTATTTGTCATGCCCAGCATGTACAAGCTGACTCTTTTGTCAGTGTTTTTCACTTGACCTTAGTCAAAAGGCCAAGAAGCAATGAGCTTCAAGTTTTCAAGACAAGCGCTTGGCCATGGAGCTATATCCCTCGCCCTACATCCAGATTTTGACCAATGTTCTTGTTCTTAAGAATTAAGTACTTTGGAGGGGAGCACAGTGTACACAATTTCATATATATATATATATATATATATATATATATATATATTTTTTTTTTTTTTTTTTTTTTTTTTTTTTAATTTTTTTTAAACACCATGTGTGCGTGTATAAAGATGTGAAGGCGGAAGAGAGAAGGAAAGAGGGTGAGGCCCACAGAGCCGATCTGGTCAAAAGATAAAGCCTGGTGAATCCAGATGGAGGACTGATCCCTTTGTACTACTATTGCAACTTTTGTATGTTTGACATTATTTAAAATGAAGTTACAAAACAAGATACATCTCCCTGATAATTAAAATTCAACAATTTTACATTCTTGTCTAAAGATAAAAAGGAAACATGAGAAAAAGAACAGTCTGGCTTGAATGGGGCCCCCTGGGGGAAGTTTTCTTCTCATTAAGAAGAAGGCCATGGGCTTGGGAGGCTGCTCAGGGCATGGCTCTTGCCTAGCATGCACAAAGCCTTAAATTCAATCTCTAGGCTCACCAAAATAAAAAGTACCAGTGTTCGTGATGTTCCTTGGGATACAAAAAATTTCAACAATGTCTAAAAAATGACAAGGGAAAGGGCTGGCAAGATAGCTCAGCAGAATAAGCACCTGCTTAGGCAAGGACAGGGACCACGGTTCAATCCCCAGCACCACATGCTGTGCTGGCCCCACCCCCAAGTACTGTGAGCTGGCCACTGAGACCAGGCGCAGTGGTGCACGCCTATAATCATAATGCAGGGGAGGCTGCGAACAGGAGGATCACTATGAGTTCAAGTTGTATAGTCAGCCCCTGCACCAAATACAATAAAAATAAATAAATAAATAACCTACAAGGGAAAAGTAAGTACTCATCTGATGGGAGGACTCCAGAGCCACCAAATACAGGATTAAGTAACTGCAGGCATCGCCTGCTGCCCAAGGATGGATACAATGGTGACTTCTGTGCTGGCATTAGAACTCAGGCCTTGTCACTTGCCAGGCAAGTATTCTGAACTTTTTTTTTCTAAGTGGGGCCTAACTATGTTACCCAGGTTGGTCTCAAATTCATGGGCTCAAAGGATCCTTCTGCCTCAGCATCCTAAACAGTTGAGGAAACAGGAGCACCCACGAGGATCCTAGCCATGAGTGCTTTGTAGGACCCCCGGTGACACTCTGTCGTTGTCTTAGAACACATACCTTTGTCATGAGATCATTGGTCATGTTCTCACTGATGATGGTGGCAGTTCCCAAGCTGGAGTTAGAAATCTTGGTGGCCGTCGTGTTCATTGGCTTCACAGGTTGAAGTCTAAAAAGAAGAGGAAGAGGGATCTTTAAGGCTGCCTGTAACCACAAAGCTCAAAGTCTTTCTTGCCTAAGGCAGTCTGCAGAAGGGGGCCAGGGTGTGCACACAATGACACATGCTGTGCTCATGTCTCCAGCCCAACACATACTGCAACAAAACCAGTGCCTGTGGAATTGAAAGCAGATAGAACCAGGCAGCACCTGCAAGCAGCAAAGCTCATCCTTGGCCAGTTTTCCCGAGGTTCCTAGGAGACCCTCAGCCTGATCAAGACTATCTGCAGAATGTAAAGACTATCAGTCTCTAAGGGCTGGGGCAAAGCTTGGTGGCAGTGCACTTGCCAGGGCTATGTGTGAGACCCTGGGCTTGATCTCCAGTGTTGCAGGAATGAGAAAGACAATCTGTTATCCCTGGAGGTATGTACAGCTGAGGACCCCACCGAGGAGCTCTGTAGAGCCGCCTGGGCCTCAGCAGTAAAGAAAGAGCTCAGAAGAAACAGGCCAGATGCTCAGCCAGCAGGGCGTAAAGACAGTTTCAGCACCACTTGATCCACTGAGCCATCTCCCTGGCCCCCGAAATCTACTTGATCCAACCGTTTGACTTCACTCAGTTCCTGAGACTTTAAGACACTGCTCACACTACATTTCTGCAACTAGAAGCTCACTGCAGCCCAACTCCTAAGAGGTCTCTGAAGACAGTGACTGTGCTCCGGCTACCAACACAATGGGGTCTTGCAGTACTGCTCCAAGAGGGTCAACAATCCTGCAGGACACGGGCAGGTTCTAACCTCAGAGCCTCCACACGGTTCAAAAGCCATAGCCTCTTCAGGTAGAAGCAAAGAGGGGACATCGTTCCCATCCACTGGGCCATGCACCCCCGTCTCTCACCTGTGCTTGGCTGCCCCAGTTCCAGTGCCTGGCTGAGCTGAGACTGGATGTGTCTCTGAGGGCGTGACCCAGGCCTGAAGAAGCGGCTTCCTCTTGCCAAAATTTTCAACTTTCCCAGTGGAGCCCTCTGCTGTTGCTTTTTTTGGAGATTCTGCTCTACTGGTGTAGTGACCATTAGCAAGTGGAGAGACAGGGAAAGAGTGCACAGCAGGAAAGGTCTCGGAAAGGGAGGGACTGGACACAGGAGAGTGTGGGGACAGGACGGGAGCATGATGCTGCCTCCCATCTACTGTGGGTTTCTCTTCCTCATCACTGCCAGGGCCAGACAGCTGTTTGTCATCGCCTGTGCTCTGGCCAGAATGCGGTTCATCAATTTCTACAGCTGCCTTCTGTGCAGAAGGAGCTGAAGGGGCCTGAGACCTGAGGTCACATGGATTCGCCACAGGCACTGCCCCCTCTGCCCCACCACTTGGCTCCTCTCTCTGCTCAGGATGGGGAGGCCATGAGCCCCAGGATAAAGTGCCTGCTGTTTTTCCCTCCTCCTCTATCTGATCAACTCTTTCATCATCAGATGCCACCTCAGGGATGGAGGGAAGGGTCAAGTTCAGATCGGCCATGATGGGAGGTGGCACCTCTGAGGCAGAAGGAAGGGCACTCAGGGGATCAGACAGCGAGCCTTCATGGTCACTGGCCTTGCTCTGGTGCTGAGCTGGGAGGGCATCTTCATTTTCGACTCTGAAAAGCAGGGTGTGCTTCGCCACGCTCACTTTATTCACGGGCACTTCTGAGGAACTCTCGGCACAAGAGGGGACCACAGAGCTGCTTTCTGTGGCAGCCTGCACAGTGACAGGTCCCCTTTCTGCAACTCCCTCGAGGTGACAGCCAGGAGGCTCTGCATCAGATGCACTTTCTGCAGTGGTTCCTCTGAAAGTCAACTCCTGGGGGGGATTTGCATCCTCCTTCCCTAGCCCAGTGGGTTTCTCTACCTCTTCCATAAAGAGCTGCTCAGAAAATGACACACGCTTCTTGCTTTTCTTCTGGCCCTCACCACCATTGAGGTTCATCTCTTCCTGTTTCTGCATCTCGGTATCTGGTAGGGGGGCCAGTTCGCCTGTTGGAAGAGGCACTGCTACTTCTTTGACTGTAGAAGATGTTCTGCCACCTGAAACTCTGCTCTCCATAGAAGGCCTAGGCTGACTCTTCAGGTCTGCATGTCCCATCATGGGTGTCTCCCCAGTGGAGCCTGCAATTCTGCCATGACTCAGTGAGAGCATAGGCGGTACCTCAGGGGTTTCTTCATCTGAGGGAGTGCAGCCTTGTTTTGGGGAGGGAGTCCCCACAAGTGCTTCTTCTTGTTGCCCCACCTCAGGCTGCGGCAAGAGAGAGCTTCCTGGCTCTGTCAGGGCAGCATTCTTCCCTAAGCCTCCCTCACTGGCCTTCTTCCTTGGAGGACTTCTTGTTCCTTTCCATACTGGAGTAGGAGCCTCTTTGAAAAGTGCTCCTGGGGCAGAAGAACCAGTATCTGAGACTGGTATTAAACTCTCCTTTTGCAAGTCTGCTTGAAGGAGCAAAGCCAATTCATCAGAACTGGCCTGGCTCTGGCCTGAGGGGGGCCAGTGTCCAACTGGGGTAGATGTGGAAATAGGAGCTACTCCGGGAGATGGAAAAGAAGAAAAGACAGAAAGACTTTCAGAAGACTGGGACTCTGAACCACCCCCTGATTCAGAGGGAGTGGGTACCTGACCAGAACTGGAAGCAAAAGCAGAAAAAAAGACAGAAGAGTCAGAGGGAGAAAGAAGCCGGGCTTTGGGTTGAGCCTCTGAAGACACTTCCAGTCTGCAAAAAGGACAAAATAAAATCTGCAGGTCAGTTGCAGATGCATCGTAAGAGACAAACATGTAAGAAATAAAGTTGTCCAAGGGGAGAATGTTTTAAAATCTGGGACTAGTATCTTAAAAAGCTAAAGAAACAACAGTCCTTAACAAATGGGGGACTCTTTGGGGGAGTGCTGGGGGACGAGCCAGGACCTTATACATTTTAAGCACATACTCTAAGCTGGCACTACACCCTCAGCCCCTAAAAGGGACACATGTATCACAGAGCACACCTACCACACAAAGCCTGTTGCAAGAGGAACAGGGAGATCCATGGAAAGCAACCGGCTGCAGCTCCTTCTGGTGACTGACATAAGACCCTAGCACTTCACTGGCAGGGCCCAAAGAGCTAAAAGTTTAAAGTAGTACAAGATGTAACCCAAGGAAACAGGCATAGACTTTAAAGAAACAGAGTGTCTGTATGTGTTTATATATGTGACCAAAGTAAATAGACTCTCCAAAATAATCCCTCACCCCCAGATCACAGAAACACTGTTAGTATGAACGTGAGTCATGCAGAAAAGCACAAGCCCTCCAGGCTCAGGCAGACTTACAAGCAGGCAGAGAACACACACAGACAAGTGCCACAGGCAACCGAGTATGGACCTGGGTCTCCAATGCCAGCAGGTGCCAACTTGAGGAAGAGAGTCTGTGTCTTCCTCAAAAGCAAACGAGCACAAGAATGCAATAATCACAGTTCTGCACACACACAACCCCAGTCATATTCCCAACTCCATATTCAGACTCTGCCACAAACTACCACATTTTACTGAGGTCTGATTGGCTTGGGGCTGGGGACAATGTGGCCCTTTCTGTAGGGCAGGCCAACAGGTGATAGGGATGGAACTGAAACAGGTGGTTTAGCCCAGTCACCCTTGGCACACATGGGGCACCACCATGGGACAAGCCACAGAGCACAGAAGGGCTTGTGTGACAAGGGCCAGGACTCACCGAGGCTTGACAGCTTTGGTCTGGGGAGGTCTCGCAGAGGGAACAGGTGGCTTTGGTTCCGACTTGGGCTCAGGTCCAGCTTCTGGTTCTGAGATCTGCACATCTTCAAAGGGGTTTAAAGAATGCCCCCTTCTGGAGGTGTCAGCTACTGCCTCTCTCTCAGACCCTCTGATGAAGACTTCCTCTTGTGGTGGAGCTTCTGGCACCCCTTCCTCCTCCTTCCCTGGGAGGCCAGCAGTGCTCTCGCCTTCACTGCCCTTCACCACATCCTTCTTTCCAGTCACCAGGAAAAGCAAGGACGACCTCTTTGCCTCCTGCTTCTTGCTGTCCTTCGTTTCTTTCGCAGCCTCCGGATTCACTGGCGCTGTGACTTCCCTAGTGTCGCTGCTCGCCAGGGGTCGGTAAGATGGCAGGGACATGGACTTCAGCGAGTCCTTAGTGGAGGTGTCAGAAGACAGGCCATCTCCCTCCCCAGGCTCCTTCCAAGCCCTGACGGCCAGGTTTTCGGTGGAAGAGAAGGAATGTTTCTTCCTGAAGCCCTGGGGAGACGGGGAGGAGGCGGGGCTGCTGTCCTTGGTCTCACTCCGGGCATCGGGCTGCTCCATATAAACATGGTTCCCGTTGATGCAGACATTAGAGCGAGAAAGGGTGTCATTCTTGGACCGCAGGCCCCCAAGAAAGGAGAGTCCTTCCTTCTTGGGAAGGCTGAAGCTGATCTGGCTCAGTTGCTTAAGGTCTACACTCGCTGTTCTCTTGTGTGACATGACTAGGAAGAAAAAGCAAGAAATATAAAGGCAGCATGTTAAACTCAGGTACAGTGAGGCTCCCGTGGCACAGCACTTGCCTAGCATTCATAAAACCCTGGGTTCCCTCCCTAGAACCAGAAAGGGAAAGAGAGAAGGAAAGGGAAGGGAAGGGAAGGGAAGGGAAGGGAAGGGAAGGGAAGGGAAGGAAAGGAAAGAGAGAGAGAGAATACATGGCTTTCAGGGTGGGGCAGGGTCATTTGTCACCAATCTGGACTTTTGTTCATCCCAGCTGGGAGTAGGGTGCTGTTGGCACCTACCAGGTAGAGCTCAGAGGTGCAGCTAAACACCCTGCAATGTGCAAGATGATCCCTACAACAAGATGTGTCTGGCCCAGTGGTCAGCAGTGCTGAGGCTAAGAAATCCTGTGTTAAACTCACAGAATGGGCAGCACTCTTGGGAGAGTAACAGAAATCTGAGACTAAGAGATTGGAATCTGATTACTGAAACTGCAGTTCAAGCTGGGGTGGTGCACGCCTGCTACCCCAGTACTTGGGAGGCTGAGGCAGGAGGATCACACATTTGAGTCCTACCTGGACAACTGAACAAGAATCTAAAAAATTAAAATAAAGGGCTGGGGATATAGCTCAGTGTGAAGGACATGGGTTCACTCCTCAGTATCACATATAGACACATGCACACAGGTACAAATAAGAATAGAAAGAAAAATTCAGAATACACAATGAATTCAGAGTTAAGTGAACTGGGTTCCCTAGCTTCCATTAGGGGGCTGTCCCTTGGGGGTGAGGCATACCATCGAAGACCAAGAAACTATGTGAACTCAGCACTAATGAAGTACTAGAATTACAGCAAGGTTGCTATGGTCTTATCTGAGAGAGAAACAGGGCAAGGAATGTGATGCGCTCATTCTTCTAGCTTCAACCTCAGCTGCATGGTCAGATGTCTCAGAAAACTGACCCAGAAATCCAAGGGATCAAGGTAGAAAAGGCAAGGTCACCTCTGCCCACCAGCACCAGCACCACTGCTGCACTGCACCACTAAAATCTTGCTCTAAAGCCCTGTCTGTTCCTTCTTGCTCAGAGCAAGGTAAGCTGAGGAAGAGCAGCCAAGTGGAAAGGCAGCAGGCACTCACTGTCTGAAGCAGAGGACAAGGACTCCTCTTGCTGGTGGTCCTCCTCCCACTGGGACCGGAAGTCTCCAGGCCGGAGCACCACTCTCTCTGTCTTTGAAGTCGGCAGGACAGACATGGATTGGGAAAGTGGCGTTTTCTGCAAATTTGACTTGGAAAACAGGGACTTGACCTTTGATTTCTTTTTCTTGTCTTTTGAGAGAGACTCGTCATCACTGTCAACTGAGGGTGTTGAGCTGGGGACGATGGCTGAGGCGGTGTCTGATGCACTGTCCCTGTTCTTTCCCTTGATCTTGTCCTTCAGTTTTCCAAATGGATTGCGGGGCTTGTCCTTCATGGACAGGTCAAACATGCTGGCTGTCATGTTGTTTCGCATGAACTGGATGTCAACCTCAATTTCTCCTCGCTGTTTTTCCTTCTTTCCTGGCTTGGATTTCAAGGTGTACCACCTGAAAAGAGAGGCCAACAGTTACCTTGGGGTTCTCGAGCCCGTTGGCAGGCTGCCCTCACTGCTGCTTGGACAGATGCAGTCCTGGCTTCCTCCTGGGGGAGCAGCTGAGGGCTAGGGATGAGGGCAGAACTTTGTCCATCCATCAGTGGTATGAAAAATTGAACGTATTTTTATTTATGAGGGTTCTTCTTTTCCTACGCACAAGACAAAGATAGAATCTGATGCACTTAGTGTACAGTCTTTTTGGTGTGTGAGTGCTAGAGGTTGTACCTAGGGCTTCACTCAGGACATGCAATATGCACTACCCTCAACTACATCCCCTGCCTTTATAATCATCTAAAGTCCTATTCCAAGCTGGATGTAGTAATGTCCATCTGTAATCCCAGCATTCTGGGAGGCTAATGCAATAGATTTGCAAGTTCAAGCCCAGCCTGGGCAAGTGAATGACGGAGACCCTGCCTCAAAAAAAAAAAAAAAAAAAAAAAAACTGAAAAAGGGCCAGGGATGTAGGTTAATGCGAAGATGCTGGGTGTTTACTGGAATATTTTTCCAGTAAAATATTTCTTAAAATCCTGATCCCGTGAAGAGCTATTTCTAAAAATAAAGAGCTGGGAGCTAGGTGTGGCGGTACATGCTTGTAGTTCCACCTGTAGTTCAGAATAATTCACACCCAGAAGTTTGAGACATACTTAGGCAACATAATAAGGCTTTGTCTCTAAATAAGTAAGTAAACATTTAAATCAATTCCTGTGACACAGTTTCAATAAAATTGCAATGATCATAAACAAAAGCTGGAAAAGTAGGGTGCAGCTGGGCATGGTGGAACACACCTGTAATCCAAGCACTGGGGAGCCTGAAGCAGGAGGATTATGGTGAGTTCCAGGCCAGCCTCGGCTATAGGTTACATATTCACTGTACACAGTGAACTCAAGGCCAGCCTAATCTGTATAGTGAGACCCTGTCTCAAATAGCAAACAAACATAAACAAATAAATAATAAAAAAGGTAATGTACACATTTATATATAAATCCCAAAGAAAATCATGAATTTAGAGAAAAGAATGTCCACCAGGGAGTAACAGAACAGTTCAGCAGTGAGACTCACAAAAGGAAAATGTTATCTGCTTTCACCTCTGTGAGATGCCCAGGGCAGTCCCATTCACCAGGATGGAAAGGAGGATGGGAGTGGAAAGCCAATGCTTGGAGGCTATGAACTCTAGCCCGAGTTAGAAAAATGAAAAAGTTCTAGAGAGGAACAGCCGCGTGAATGTGAGTAGGTAACACCACAGAGCCATATACCTGAGACAGTACAGCCAAGCACTGCCTAGCACTGCAAGAACCTGGGTTGGACCCTGGCACTCACTGCAAGAGTGGGGGGGCACACACAAAAAGGTGACATTTTATATTCCATATATAGTTTACCACAGGTTTTGAAAATGAGAACTTAAGAAGAGGGTGTTCTTCTCTGGCTTAATGATCAAAAGAAAGAACATTTCAAACATCATTCAAGTATTTTGTTTGGTCATCTGCAAACTACTTGGAAACCTGGCAAATGACCTGGTACCAGTCCTACTCCACAGACCGACAAACTTCCACCAAAGGAAATCTGCCTGGCACTCAACGTCCACCTGGGATTCCTCTCCTCTGGTGAAGCCAAGTGACCATGTGGGCACAAACAACCGTGAACACTTAGCCTGCAGGCCACAGCACCCATACTCAGATGCCCTTTCCAGTGACCTAGTTAAAAGCTGGGGCTGAGTACCACTTCCTCTCTCACCTTCAGCCACTGCCTCTTCTCAGGGCTGATCGCTGCTCTCCTCCCCCATTTGGCTCCTACACAGAGAAGGAAGGAGCAGAGGGAGGCAGAAACCTAACACTGAGCAGCTCCCACAGCGTAGCTGGCATGGTGTGCCCACAGAAGCTCCGTCGTGTCGGCCTCACAGGAGTGGTGTGAGGTGGATGTTACGTACACTTTACAAATGGAGACATTAAAGCACAGAAATTACATCACTGGTACAGCTCTCACAGGGTACAGCCAGGAGTCTAACCCAACTCTGCATTTCCCCAAAGCTCTGCTTCTTTCCATTCTACCAAGATTCCTGCTTTAAACTCTCTCCTAATTTACCTTCAATAGACCATCTACTGTGATAATACAGAAAGCGAGGAGGCCCCAAACTTAAATGACAACAACCTCCTCCTAGGCTCCACCTTCCTCCTCCTCCTTCTCCTCTTCATTTTGGTGCTGGGGAGGTTCCCAGGGGTCTCATGGCATGCTAAACCACTGACCATACCAGACTCCCTAAACCCCTAGTTGAAATGTCTCCAAATGAGAAGAAAGGGAAGCCACCCACATAGTCTGACCTCAATCATACATTGTAAGATTACAAAAAGTGCAGCATACAAAGTCATTAAGGGCTTAAATGGATTTGCAAAATACAGCCAAGTCTGATAAAATGATTGGAAGTCCCACACTGCACCTTTAGAACTCTTAATTTTAAAACCACCATCTGCAGACAGCAGTGTGGGTGTTGAAAGGTGAGAGATGTAGCAGACAATTTCACCCCTGCCACAGCCTAGTACCTTGGGGTGGGGGCGATGGAGCCCAGGGCCTGTGCACTTTTTTAGTTTCCATTTTAAGGTAGAATCTAAGTCACTAAACTGCCCAGGCTGGGCTCCAACTTGCAGTAATTCTGCTGAAGCCTCCCAATATGCTGGGATCACAGGTGGGCAAATCACACTCAAGGCAATAAGTTCTTGCTGCTTATTTTCACAAGCAAACCTAAAACCAAATACCAAGTAGCCAAGAAGAGATCAGGAGGAGACTACTTTAAGGATGTTAAAAACAGACTGACTGGGAATCAGACAGGTAAGCAATCCAGCAATCCAACAAATTTTCAGAGTTTTAAAAACTCTGCCAAAGGTGGGTGGGTTTGTTTCTCTCTCTCCTCTCTCTCTCTGTTCTCTCTCTCTGTTCTCTCTCTCTGTTCTCTCTCTCTCTCTCTCTCTCTCTCTCTCTCTCTCTCTCTCTCTCTCTCTTTCTAATGTATTTAGTACAGGGCCTACAGGGTCTCACTATATAGATCAGACTCATAGTGACCCTCTTGTTTTCAGCCTCCCAAGCGCTGGGATTACAGGCGTGCGGCACCATGCCCAGTCTCAATCACCATCTCAGCACCAATGGGGTGGGAGGGCAGGGGCAGGGGCAG